GATAAAGACATGCTGTGGAAGAAAGCTTCACGTGGTGCAGCTGTTTTTAAGTTTGTGTGTCTGCAATTTTAAAACATCCAAATAAAATCCCAGAATTTCACTCAGCAGCCATATTGTTGGTGAATTAGTAATGATTGGATACAGTTACAGTATTTTATTATTTGGATAAAAGCAAACATGAAAGAATTACCAACACATCATACACAGACAACGGTACAGGGTTAGGGTTAGGATCTAACCAGAACAAACTGAGCTAGCTTGATGTTTTAAATGAAGCTCCGATGGAAGAAGGAAGTCTTTTCCAAAGTGATCCAACCTCAAAATGTGGATATAAAAGGACGTGGTCGATTCGATGGTCGGCGAGGCAGGAATAAGATCAGAGGAGATCTGATATAAGCAGGAGCCATGTAGGGTGTTGCATATTATTTATAAATGTTCAAATAAATACCAGATTTTACTGGAAGCCAATTAAGGAAGCAAGAATATGAGAGACGGGCCAGCTGAGGAAGACTGTGTGAAACGGTGAAAAGTAATCTACAGTAATCTAGACAGGACAGGATTACTAAAGTTCTTAAATGACAGTAAAGGTTTGTTTTTGCAGTGTTTGAGCTCAGGCGGTGGTCAAAGTCAGGCCAATATGAGCCGTGATGTCAGCTCTGATATAAATGTGATTGGCTTGTAGGGAAACGTCCGCCTCTCTGCTGCTCTCAGGACCTGAACGCTGAAATGAGGCTGTAAACACCTTTAAATCTGCTGTAAAGTTTTAATGAGGACTGACTCACTGCTGGAGCTTGAGCGTGATCCAGGTCTCCACAGGGTCTTTTATTTTGAAAACTGGATGCTCTAAGCTTGCTTTGTTTGCCTTCCCGTCCTCTTTAAAAAGATCTGTTGTTCTTGTTAATGACACAAAGCAGAGCGGTGGGAATGAAGGTCTCGTCTTCACAGAGTGGAACACGATAAGGAATCTCAGCTCCATCTTTGCTGTCCGTGTTTGATGGACGGATGCTTGACCTTCTAATTTGGAGTC